AAAATGACTGCCTGTTTCAAAGAGCTGGCAAGGTCACACGCCATCAGGGTGTACCAGCTGAGGTCAACAGTCCTTCCCCCACCCCATGGTCAGCCCCTTCACAGCCTCATGGCTATACGTGACCAAGTGCCCGGAAATCGGTCGGCACCACCATTCATGTCCTTCCTCACAAACTGAAGTATAATGTCCTCTGTTCCATGAGGACAGAGACTATTATCCTATATCCATCATCTCGGTGCAGTCGGTTGGCACCTAAAAGGTAATTTTAAGAAACAAATGAATAGGAATAGCAGCTAACATTTTTAAAGCATGTACCATGTGGTAGGTGCTTTTCTAAGCCCTCATCATGTATTATTATATTTCGGTTTCACAACAGTACCATGAAGTAGGTATTATTATCACCACCCAAATTTTACAAATAAGGAAACCAGCCCAGAGAAGTAACTTGCTCAAGGGGATATCACTAGTAATGGTAGATCCAGGGCTTAAAGTCAATTCAGCCTCCGAACGTACACACTCAATCACTGCACGGTGCTGAATACACAACCAAACTCAGGTACTCTAGTACGAAAATCATCAACAGAGAACCTCTGACATCCACAAACCCTGAGAAGTCCTTCCGGGTTTCTGGGTGTTATATATGCACTGTTTTTGTTTGTTTGTTTGACTTGCAGAAAACTTTAGAGAAAACCAATACCTACTTTTATCCCTAAGAATGGGACCAGGCCTATAATTTTCAAGAAACTATGTGACCACATTCAGTTATCAAGCAACTGTGGGCAGGAATATCTAGGTTTACATAGTATTTCTCTGCTTAAGAGATCTGAATTCTTGAAGAAGGCTTTTAACCATCTAAGGTCCCATCTCCCCATCTCTAAGCAGACTGTGGGCTTACTGAATCAAAGGAGATCATGGACATAGTTGCTTGCTCATACAGTAAGGTACGCTATAAACATAACGCAAGATCCTAATAATTAATATATTACAATAAAATAACTTGCATTAAAAATTCTATATTCATTAATCTATACTTTCAAAACTTTCTATACTTTCAAGATAGTTCATATCTCTCCATGTTTTAATGATATTTGAGCTTAATAGTTTGTTTCTGTAAATCCTTCTATTATTATTTCTGAGCTTCCAAAAATTTATGCTATAACTTTACTAACGTTACGGTAATCCAACTGCTACTTTTATTTCAGAGGCATGAAGCATTCACAAGACAGTAAATGTTTAATTCTAACTAGATTCTCCTATATCTGCAGAGGACAACTTAGCAAGTAAGAGCTTCATTTTATTTTACAGTTAAAAAGCTCAAAATGATTCTGCTGTATCTCTGAAGGCCTGAAGGTTAGTGTTGGATCCAAGAATGAGGTAAGCCTAGGAAAGCAAGCTGTGGTTTTGTTGGTTGGAAAGACACATGTCTCTGAATAGTTGAGGGGTGGGACAAATAGCATTCAAAATGATTTGTAAATTTAACATAAATGATGACTGTGACCACAAACAGAAGTGGAGGAGGAAAGGAGAGAGAGGGAAGGATCAAAACTAGGTGCAACAATTTTCATCTTAATATGCTTTTTAATCAATATGCTATTGATTACAGCTCTTTCTAAGGAAGTTGGTCACACCCAGGGGCATAAAGGGTGGCACGCAGGTGACAGAGGATGCCCTGCAAACTGAAACATGAATGTACAAATTGGGGAAATCACTCTGCAGATACAAACAATTTTAAAGTTACTACAGTCTCTACTACTAGATGTTTGAGTTCCCCCAAACTCTCCTCCACCCTAAAGTATGCAGCACAGTGGGAGGTCCACCAATAGAGGGAGGGGCAGATGCATGCACAGATGACTTGGCCAAGGGGATGAGATGAAGGCTGCCTCCTGCAGGAACTACTCCACAAGCCGCCATCCAGTTCTTCCTCCATGCCTTTTTAATCATTAACTTCTTCCACACGCCTGAGATTGCTCCTGCCATCACCGGAGACTGAACTTTTTCCAAAACCAGTGGCTTCCCCAGCCAAAGTCCAAGCAGGGTCAGTGACTTCCCTAGCCAACGTCCAAGCAGGTTTTAAGGGTGGAGGATAAACAGGCCAGAGTCTGTGGCTCAGTTAGGTGTTAGCTGGCCAGGGCCCTCCTGCCTTTTGGACCCAGAGTGGATCCTAAAATTCATTCTGGGTTCACAGGTGCCTCCTCATGGCTGCCATGCAGTAACTCCAAGTTGAGAGGCTCCCATGAGCCCTCGTCTACCTGCGAGGCTGTGCAGCAGGTTCAAGAAGAGACCCTGGGAGATGCTTCTATTGGAAGGCCCACCATCCTACTAGAAGGCTGTTCCCTCTTCTTCACCTCCTAAGTACAGGTGCAAGCACCTTCCAAGCCACTGCTCCTTTTGTCACTTCCCTAGACTCTCCCCTCAGCACCTCAGGTGAGATGAAGTGGCAATGGCTACAATCTGATGCAGCCAGGGGGACTCTACAAGTGGCACTCTGTCTCCCTGGGAGCTTCCTCCATTGGTGGGCAAGGATGGGGGATGTCAAAGGGGACTAGAGCTACAGCTCAGGGCCTATAAATCAAGCTGTGGTAAAGTGGCTCCCCAGGCCAAACCCCAGATCAATCTTGCTCAAGCCATTATTTCCAAAGAGCACACTCCTCATTCGAAAACTTCGAACAGCTCAGTGCTCTCCTGCAAGTCTTAGCTGGCTTTCAAGGCCTTCTAAAAACCAGAACGATGGGCCCAGCAAAGGGATTTCAGGTTCCCAGGGGGCCATTTTTCCTATCCCAGTGACTCTGCTCCTAACTGGTAACCCCTACACTGGAATGTGGGCACATTTCCTTATCCACCAACTAGGAACCTTGTCCAGGAACAGGTTCTGGGGCCGAAATCTCCCCCTGTGAATTTTCAGGACCTTAAATATTCTCCCATCCTTTCTCCCACCCACCTCTAGATAGTAGTATGTCTCTTTCGCGCTCTCCTCTCTTTCTCTCTCACTCACAGACTGCAGGCATTAATTAAACCTCTTCTAGAAAACAGATTTTCACCAGCTGCAGGAATTCTGGGTAATAGCCAGACCTGAAGACAGAGACAATCTGGGTAAGAAAGATAAGCTCCTGACAGCCAGGGGCAGTGCAGGCTCCCACATCCAAGTGGCAGTCTCAATTTTAGCCCTTTCCAGATTCCTGAAAAAAAGGGGATATGAGGTATTCCCACCCCCTCAGCATTTGGCTGTACTGACTGGGACTGGCCTTTGACAGAGGCACAAGAGCTGGACCCTGCTGGCGGGTCATAGTCACCTCCGAGAGACAAAGCACTGGCCCAAAACACCAACCTCCCTCCCACCAATAGAGCTGCAAGCCATAGTGCCAGAAACCTGCAAGAAGAGGCACTCCCAGCCCTTCGCAGGAAGCAACACCCACCGGAGCGAGGACAGTGCAACCTGAAGCAGCCAGGGGGTCTCTGCAAGTGGTACCCCGTCTGCCTGGGCGCTTCCTCCATCAGTGGGCAGGCATAGGGGATGTTAAAGGGGGCTGGGACTACAGCTCTGGGCACTCTAGGTTAAGCTGTGGTGGACTCAGCCCTCAGCAGACAAACTTAGTAGCTCCCAAGGGTGCCCACTACCACCCACGCCAATTCTTGAATGAAGACAACTGATTTTCTTCATAGAAATCCTGCAGTCCCCACTGAGGTTAAAGACCCACCATCAGCTCCTGACCTGTAGATTGTACCCCCTGCCCCAAACACACACAAAAATGAGTTTGTCTCTAGTGAGATGACACATTAAAAAAAAACAAAAACTGTTGAATTTAAGGGTAACATTTTGAACAGTGTAGCAAAGTGTAGAAAACATTGGTTGTGAACTCAGACTAATTCATGGGGCATCCATTTCTTTCCTCACAAACACTGAGTACCCCTATGTGGTAGACAGGGAAGACCAGGCAGGGACCTGGGGCCACAGAGATGGTTCCACCCATCCCTGAAGATGCTCCTGGACAGTGGGGCATCACAGAGCAGTGTAGGGAGGGCCAAGGAGAAGCCCACGGGAATTTCTGGGCACTCAGAGAGATCCTACTGAGCCCAAGTGTGTCCTCGGGCTAATCACTCACCTAATTAATAGTGAGGGAATATTGAGCTAATTACTATTCAAACTGATTCAACAGAAAAGAGAGTTACAGATATTGCAGTTCCACAAACACTCGGAGTGCTGTGCTCCAGAGGCCAGGTGGCCCAAACGCAGCCTCCCAAGGCATCAGCGAGGGTGGGCTGGCCGGGAGCCAATCCCTACAAGAGAAGTTCCCTCTACACATCCTTTCTCTGAGATAAGCAATTAATTTAATGAAAGCCAGGAAAAGGGATGGGGCAGATTCATAACTGGCTTTCAGGCTGTCCCGTATATCTCCCACCTCTCTCCAAAGGCCACGAAGCTTTTTGAGCCATCTGCTGTAAACCCCCTTCCCACAGATATCCCGATTGGGACCTCTGACGAGGGTAAGTTGTTGCCAAGCCCGACCACAGTGGCGTCCCGTTTGAAATGGTGGGCTCCACACTGCATGCTTCACACCCACCGGCCTTCTGCAAGTATCAACAGCCTCATTTGTGAAGCACTTTCCAATCCCCCCTCCACCCCCTACACTTCCCCGTTCACAGCTCGATCTAATTCCACGTCTCTCCTCATTTTACTTGTTGAATGCTTACAAAGCATCCTTGCCTTCCCACAAAGACACTGGCTAGCCAGGCGGTGATAACCTCACTCCCCACGGAGCCCCCTCGTAATAGCTGAACTCACAGCCGAAGCGGGAAAATATGGCTCCACGTCCTGCACCGCCAATCCTTTACCATCCACAGGTATAATTTAAAAGGCAGCTGCAGCTGCAAAGCAGGCAACCTACCCTAAGCAAATCCAGTCTCTCTGTGTGTGAGACAAAGCCAGCATATTTAAAAGATCAGGACACATGCAAGTTCACCAGCAATAGCAACATCGTGGGTCTACACCACGAGGTCCTAACCTGCGCATCCGGGAATGTTAACCTGCGCTCTCGGACGGCCCCGCGGCTGGGCCTGGGACTCCTGGAGGCGCCTGGCTGCAGGTGGCTGCCGAGAGGAGCCAGCCCCGTCCTCAGGAAAGGCCGCGAAGTTGCAGCCGCCAGCTTACCTGGAGGCTAGCCGGCTCAGGACTGCCCCGGAAGGGAGATCCCGGGAGCTTGAATCTCAGTTGGAATTCAGTGGCGTGAGTGCCGGGACCGGGCGGGAGAGGGCTGGAGGGGCAGGGGCGAGGCGGAGGCGGGCTCCGCGGGACAGTGTGGGGCTGCAGGGGGCGAGGGCTTGAAGACAGAGCGGGGGGGTTCGCAGCGGGCGTGAGAGAGGGGACTGCAGGGCGGGCGCCGGGGCTGGGACACCCGGCGCATGGGGGGAGTGGCAGGGGAGAGGGCGCAAGTCCTAGGCTCTGGGGCGAGCGCGGGCATAAAGGAGGAGGCTTAGTCGTGAGATTCAGACCCGACGCTTCCAAGCGACCCCAGCCTTCCCGCCCCTCTCCCACTGGCGAGTTAGGGGGACTCCCTCAGTCTCCCAACCCTGGACCCTGGACGTCCACCCGCCTCGAGCATCCTGGTCGCTCAGCGCCAACGGCAACCGCTCCGGCTCAGGCCCGCGCCACACTCACCCCCATGGTCCCGGGCCGGCCGGGCCCCAGCTCCGCTGCTGCGCGCTCGACTCGGCGCTGACCGCCAGCTCCTCCCGGCGCCAGAAGAGGCGAGGGCGGTGCGCACCAGCCGCGGGGCAGCTGTAGGGGCCCAGCAGCGCCCCCTGCCGACCCCGCCGCGCCCCGGCTCAGCTCGGCCCACCCACACCCTGGAGCTCCGCCCCGGAGGCGGTGTTGCGGTGCTGCTGGGCGGGGGCGACCGCGCGGGGTTGCTGAGAGGACGCTGCCCCTGGGAGGCGCAGCACAGCCCCCAGAGACTGTTCGGTCTGCAGAAGCCTCTGCGTGCAAAGCCACCGGCACGGACGCGCCGAGCGCGCAGGGACCACGACCACAGACGCGCAGGGCCATCCCGCGCCTCACAACGCCAAACCTGAGATCTGGGACTGCGCGGCCGCGCGCTAAGGCCCAGGAACACAGCCCTGGTCCCCCCCGACCCTGGTGTGGGTGCTTTCGGGCCCTGTGCCAGCCCAGGCGCGGCCGATCCTGGCGCTGGGTGGGCGCGCGCGTCTGGGGTCCGCCTGCTGCCACGTGGACCCAAACTGTCACTCCCTAGCCCCCACCCCTTTCGGCCTGTCTCACACTTCTCTTCCGGCTCAGAACACATCCGGCCCTGTGTCTCTCTATTCCTCGCTGCTGCTCCGTCTCCCACGGCCTACGGGGACCCAGGGAGGTCTCGGCCCCGCGCAGCCGCCCTTCCCACCTGCTCCCGGCCCGCGGGAGCAGCTGCTGAAGATCCGCAGAGCACTTGAGGGCTGTCTGTATCGCCCGGTTAGACATCCAATAGGCGCATGGTTGTACTTGGTTTGATGAGTATCTGTGGGCCATTTATTGGAAATGTTAGGTTCCAGCTGGTGGAGATTCCTACCAGATTTCTCTGTGGGAGATGAAACGACCAACAGCGATTGTCAGACAGGCCTTTGCTGTCAGCTGGAGGTATACAGCGCCCCTGTGTGCCCCAGCACAACGAGCCCCAGGCACAATAGATACGGCTTCGAATTTGCTACTGTACACCTTTGAGGTGTGCTTACGGCGGATCTCATCCCTTGACCTCTGCTTTCTCTCCTTTATTGATGGCTCCCACACTTCTGGCCAGATGTGTCAGCCATATTTCCCCCTACCCTCCAGTTTTTTTCTTAGAACTGTTCACCTCAAGTTACCATGTCTGGAGCCAAATTTTACCCCTTCCAAGCTCCCAACTCCATTTATTCCCGTGGTCTCGCCAGTTGCTCAGCCACCTGGCATGCCTTCCTGTGGGAAGTAGAAAAGTTCCTCTTCAAAGTTTTCTTTTTTGTTAAATAATAAATCGTAAGTGCTAGAAAGAATAGTTTGTTTTAAACACTTTCTTCAAAACCTGCTTTTTGCTAATAACTCTTTGTTAAGCCCTATCCTATGTAGCTGTTAGACATGCTCACAGGCACATAGTTTCTATGTCCTTGTACTTTAACCAGGATATCTGTGCTGGACGTGCTCACAGGCATGTCCCGGGTCGCAGCCTATGCCCCTTCCTTATTTGGACTTCTTTTTGCTCTTCATTGCTTTTACCTGTTTAGATAAGTTTTAAGTTGTTAGCCAATCAAGTTTTAGTTTTAGATCATGAGGTCTGGCTCCAGCCAACGGAGATCAGACACAGCAGTAAGGATGACCCCCAAATGCATAAGAGATAAATATGTCTGGTTTTCCTTTGTTCATTGTATTCTCGTGGGCAAGATGGCTAATGGGAGCACCCTTTCTGCAGAAAGTAAAATTGCTTTGCTGAGAGATCCTTTGTGTTAGTGCTGATTTTTCTTTCAGGCACTGAGCATCTGTTTCCAACACTTTGTCATCAGGAGCCTTAATGGCACATCAGTACTGGACTTTGGCTGCCTGTCCCTCTGTGGTTTCCTTTGATGCAGCACTGTCCTGGGCTTTCTTTCTTCCCTGAATACTGACAGCCTCTCCCAATCCATGGGCACAAAATCTTTTCACTGTCTCCTTTAGCATCACCCCCAACTCTCCCACTTGGCCCCCACAAAAGCCCACCCCAGCCCACCCAACACTGCCTCCTCTGCCCCTTCTGATTGTCCTCTCACTGATTCTAGGCTCTACTGTATAACTCACGCTGTCACCCTCTTCTCTAAGTGGGTTAGTCAAGGTGCTTTCTGCTGTAAAAGACAACCCAATTACACTAGCTTAAACCAAAAAGTGTTGATTGGCTGTGTGCATGAAGAGCCTGTCTGCTTCAGGCCTGGTTTTAGTTCCAGGGTCTCAGGGACTCCCTGTCTCAGATTTGCTTTCTTCCACATGAGCTATGCTTTCATGTGCACATGAGACCCTGGCAGATCCAAGCTCACAGCCTCACAGCTCAAGTTCCAGCAGAAAATCAGCATCTCTGTCAGCCATTGCAACTAGCCTTGAACCTGGCTTTATTTGCAGGATTGGGCCACCTGTCCATGATGTGCCTTCAGCCTCTGTGACTCCATGGCAGGTGGGTTCACTCTTGGCCACACTGTCACCCTCTGCAGGGAGCATGTAGGCACTCCTGGATCCCTTCTCTGTCACAAGGGAACTAAAGGTAACTCGGGCACTATCTCTAACTATTTCTCTGCAAAATGTGCCACACCAATGCTTTGCCTGATGGCACAGGGCAAATTGTGGGGCAGAGTCTTAGCCTTGAGATAGGACACAGGCCCTATCTCACTCTGCTTTCAACTTCCTCCTTAACCTATCTGATATCTTTGTCTTTGTACCACCGCCTTCAGTAGGTCAACACTTGGTACAAGGATGGCCTCAAGCCCTCATGGAATCAGACATTGTACACTCCCTAGACTCATGTTCTGTTTCTTTCCCTCACCTTCCCGATTCCCTGAGGATGTCTATGCCACATTCCATTCTAGAGGAGGCATCACCTCCCCTCTAGTCCCGTGGACTCTGCATTCTGAGTGGTACCCACTGAGCCTTAATGGAGGAAGGGGCTACAGGGAAGGAAAAAAAAAGGCTTCCTACAGGGAAAACAGATATGGGGAAGCATCTCGAGACCATTACTCCTATTAAATTTCTGTCCTCTGTGGTGGCTGAAGAGGTAGGATGGCAGCCTGACCCAGCTGGGGACCATCTGGCCAGCACCTGGGGAGACTGTGCCAGAGATTGCAACAGAGGAAAGCAGAGTGGTGAAATATGCACCCACCTTCCTTCCTTCCTTCCTTCCTTCCTTCCTTCCTTCCTTCCTTCCTTCCTTCCTTCCTCCCTCCCTCCCTCCCTCCCTTCCTTCCCAAGATAATGGATGTCATAGACAGGTTTCTGCTGTGCCTGAATCCAACTTACCACTGAATTTTTCAAAAAGTATGGGTTCCAAAAAATACTCAATTTCCCCCTGAACAAATTAGAATTGGATTTCTCTGTCACTTGCAATGAAGAGAGTCTTGACTAGTATAAGCCCCTAGCATAGGACTTTACACATCCATTCCTGCAAAATAGCAATCATCATCACCATTATTCTTCTGATAAAGGAGCAAGCCATGCTCTTTGGTGACTGTAAACAGTAGAAATGAACAAGTGCCTGCAACGTGCTCAATAACTTTCATCTCCCCTCCTATTCCCAGCCTGCTCCTTTTTCCTTTCCAAACTCACATCTTGACTCTCAAAATTCATTAAAATCAGAGCTCACTCATCTTATGAAAATAGTCCCAGGCTTACCCAAGTCATGAATATTCTGCTAGGCAGCATTTGCTGCCATTTTACAGAAGTAATCCCTTCCTAGACTGTAAGCAACTGGGAGCAGGTGTCCAGCTTCAATTCACTTTCAGGCCTTTGAGCAAAAATTGTACAAATATTTGCCCAGCCTCCTTTGTCCCATACTGTAGACTTAGAGAAACAATGAGCTACTGCCTCTGCACTTGAAGGGACTTTACCATGGGGAAAGACAATTAGTCTAAAACAGAAACTAAGGTGGCAGATGACAATACCAGGGAGTCCTCTAGGGGATGGAGGTGGAGTGATTATTGGCACCGTGTTCTGCTTTCCCAAGGCCTGTGCTGCCTGCAATCTTGTGACAGATTTTATACATCCATGCTAAACATTTCTGCTGTGCCCACCACAATATCCAGATAATAAATTTCATTTCAAAATTCCATTACGATGGGGTTTGTTTTTTCGATTACAAAAGAAGTACCTACTCATTGTTGAAACTTGGAATAATACAAAGCACACAAAAATAAAGATTAAAACTGAAATTATACATAATAGATTTATGTTGATTAATATAGTAGAGAACATCAAACTACGATATAAAGAAAGAAGATTGTCTCATTCTCAGGTGTACCCCACTCCTGGCAACTACAGGGCCTCAGGGAGATAAATATCTTGCAAAAAGCTAAAGGTCATTTCTTAGCTTCTTGCAGAAATGGTGCACTCTCTCCAACACATATATAGTTTTTAAAAATGCAATCTAGGTCAGCTCCAGGGTGGTCCATTCTCTATCATTTATGTATGCATGATTCATTTTACTTACTAACAGCTGTAATCCCTTCTCCTGACTCCTATCAGGCTTATTATGCAAGTCTCTTCCCCCTCCTGAGACCAACGAGGGAGGCAAACTCATTTTCCCATCTATCTGGGTGAAATTTAATTAGAAAGGCAAATCTGGAAGGACAGAACACAAAATAACCACATTAAATAAAAATAAGAGATGGCTCTGAACTTGACCTTGAGCCAAAAAATCACAAAGAACTGCAGTAATTTGCTGAATCATAGATCTAAACATTCATTTTTGCCTTCTAACCTCTGAGCCCAACTGAAAGAGGTTTCTAAAGAAAAAAACAAATACTAGATGAACACACACAAATCACGTCTAGAAGTCATAAAAGGACAACAAGGATTCTGGCTGCCTATTCCATCGAAAATGCTGCCTGGCACGGTGGGTACTTTATAAAAATTGAATGAATGGATAGATGGGCTGAAAGGCCACACTTCTTGTTTT